CCTCCTCCCCCTCTGGGCTCTCGCTTACCGTTGCTGTGCTCACTACTGCCAAGCAGCAGGTGAGGCCTAAGACAGCCAGCTCCAGGCGCCCCATGGTGCGTGTGCCTGTCTCGGGGCCCCTGCCTCTGAGCAGGGGTATTTATGGGGCGGGACATCCGGGAGACATCCGTGAGCCGGGGCTGGCAGCTGCCTGTGGATGGTTCCCTTCCCCTCCCCTCCCTCTGCCCATTCCTCCAGGCAGGACACCTGGGGCCAGGATAGCTGCCGTTTCCAGCCAGGCTCAGGGTCAAGGTCATGCAGTTGTGGGCACACATACTCAGACACACACACACATGCATAGCTACTGTTCCCAGGCGGGGATGGTCCACCTTTGCCAGGACCTGCGGATCTGGGTGGCTGGTGCCCTCAGCCCACCTGGGCCAGTTACTGGGAATGGTCAGGTGGCCCTTGGCAGGGGCTACAGGGACTCGGCTGGGTGCACAGCGCCCTGCATTGTGGCTCATTGACAAGGGCCTGGGCTCACCCTCAGGGAAGGGGGCCTGCTTCCCACCAGGCGTGGCCTGGCCCCCACTTCGAGCTCCGCTCCGGCCCCCTCCTGGAGCTCCGGAGCCCAGCAAAGGGAGTTCACAGGGGACTGGGCATGTCGACTCCGGACAGAGAGGGCTGTGTGCTCCTGGGCAGCCACGTGGCTGAGCCTGGGTCCGAGGGCCCACGGGTGTGCAGTCCGAGCTGGGTGTGGGGACCCAGAGCAGCACAGGGAGGTCCTGCCCTCAGGGAGGGCACCCCTCACACTCAGCACCAGCAGCCCTGGAGGGAGGACTGGAGGCTCAGGTGGGCACAGGTGTGGAAGGAAGGGGGCTCCCGCTCAGGCTGGTGGCTTACCTGAGGAAGAGGAAGGGCCTGGCTTCAGAAATACTACGACCTGGGGCATTAGAGAGAGATAGAAGGTGGGACAGACAGAGGGAGAGACAGAGATAATGGAGACACAGAGAGACAGAGGGAGAGAGGTCTTAGCAGAGTGTGTGAGAGCAGAAAGGCAGCGTGTGGCTCGGGGAGGGTGTCTCACTCGAAAACAGAGGAAGCTCCATGGACAAACCCCGGGTTCCTGTCTTTGTGGAGCTGGCAGCACTGCCTTCTCCAGGGTTGGGGGGCGCTCAGGGCCCCGGAACAGCAGAGCCCTCCCAGGCCAGCAGCTCCTCGCCCCGGCCCCTCAGCCCTTCGCTACCTATAGCCGGGCTTGTACACAGGCCACAGCCTGGCTCAATTCATGCCTGGGGGTGTGTCCAGCACCACCTGGATCCACAGACACCGGCCACGCTGGCTGCCCTGGGACCC